GCCGTGCCGCGCCGCGCTAGGGTGGGGGCCGGGCGGGGGCCGCATCCTGCGCAGCTGGAGCCGCAGCCGCGGGGCAGGAGGAGAGAGAGAGCCGTGGTCATGGGGGCCGGGGCCACCGTGGGTCGACAGGGCCCCGCCTTGTGGCCCCCGGCCTGGAGCTAAGCCAGGTGCATTGTGGGGCTGGCACAGGCCCTGCCGGTGCTGGGGGGCCCCAGAACTGCCCCTCAGCCTCCCTGGGGGCGCATGGGGGGGTCACTGCGCAGTGATGTGTTTGGAGGCGGGAGCACTGCAGTGGAGGTGCCCATTGGCCCATTCCAGTGTGGGCAGGGCCTGCAACATGGCAGCAGGAGTTTTGATTGGTTGCTTATACTGTGGGCAGGGCCTGGGGCCATGCAGTGAGGTTTCTGATTGGTTGGTTGTTGTGTAGGCAAAGCCTGGAAGATGGCAGTGGTGGCTCCGATTCGTTGGTTGCTATGTGGGCGGAGCCTGGAAGATAGCAGTGGGGGCTCTGATTGGTCCGTTACAGAGTGGGTGGGGCCTGGGACACTGCAGTGGCTGGGGCCTATAGGTCATTGCTCCCACTGCACCTCCAGTGTTCCCAGTATTGCCCCCAGCCTGTCCCTGTGAGGCCTTGCAGCAGCCCCAGAGCAGCACTGTCCTGGCTGGGGGAGTGGCACTACACTGCAGGGGAGGAGGGGCCCTACACTGCACTACACTGCACAGGGTGGCACTACGGGTCATGAGTCATGACCTTGTGGGCCAGCAGGGGGGCCTGGCACTGCAAGGCGGGGGGGGGGGTGCATGCATTGCACAGCTTTGGAGCACTGAGCCCAGGCACTGCACTGTGACGGGCTGGGGGGCCCTGTGCAGTGGGGGTGGGCAAGCAGGGCAGTGCAGTGGGAGTGGCTCCACGCTGCACTGTGGGGAGAGGGAAGGGCACAACGCCCGGTGGGGCCCAGGCTGGGCCGTCTGCTCGGGTGCACCAGGCCCGACCTGAGTCCAGCTGCAGCCCCCCGGGAGCTGGGTTCACGACACTGTCCCACTGCCCCCCCATGGTCCCATCTGGAGGGTCCCCGAGCACCTGGGCTGGGAATGGGGCTGCCAGTGGAGCTGCCTCGGTGCCCAGTGCTGTTGCGGGCTGCGTCGGTCCCTGGCCCCAGACCCATGCATCCCACTGCCAGGGGCCCTGCCTCCTTCCCCTACCCCCCAGCCCAGCTTGGCCTCCTTTCTCTCTGCCCTGTACCAGCTCTGTGGCTTGATGTCTTCATACATGCATGTATGCATGCAGACGTGCACAGACATGACCCCGAGCCTGGGATGCACGTGTGCCCTTGTGCACATGCATGTAAGCTGGTGTGCATCTGCAAGCGCACACGTGTGCGTGGGCATATGTGCGAATGCATGTGCACATGTGAGCAGGCTGGTGCAAGCATGGGCTCTCTCCCGTCTCCCAAGGGGCTCAAGACTGGAGCTTGCCCTCAGCCCCTGGGTCTCGCCACCAGCCGTGTCTGCTCCCCTTGTGCCCGCAGCCCCCCGAGGCTTCTCGGGGCGGCCCCGGCTTGCCCGTGCCCTCCCGGAGGGGTGCAGCCGGTCGGCAGCTGCCTGCAGCGGACAGAGGTGCCAGGCTCGGGTGGGTGCAGGCGGGGGCCAGAGTCCATGAGGTGTCGCAGCCTCAGGCAGCAGGAAGCTGGGGGCCGGGGGCTGCCCAGGCTCAGCCCCGTGTCCCCTCCCAGTGCTGGCTGTTGGGCCTCCTTGCACTGAGCAAGCCAGGGGTGCCGGATGCTGCCCCTGGGCAGGGACGTGCCTGATTTGGGGGGAGGGCAAAACCATGGAGTACTCCCCCCTGGCCCTGCTGTCTCTTCCCCCCTGTATTGGGAGGGCTGAGCCTGCACCTGGGGAGCCTGGTGCTTGACCCCACAGTGGCTGTGACCCCCCCCATGCCTCTCCCTGGCCGGGTGGATCTCGCCAGCTGCTATGGCCCCCCCCCCGAGCGGCCTGGCTGCTGCTGCCGGCCCGGCCCCGTGCTCGGTGCAGCTGTCCAGTCCGTCACCCCTGCCCGCGGCCGGGGTATTTTTGCTGAGGAATGTGCAGCCCCTTGGATTCTCCCGGCCGCCAGGGTTGTGTTACACATCACGCAGTAAATAGCCCCCCTGGCCTTTGGCGGGGCCGCTGTGCCTCTTGCAGCCCCCTCCCAGCATTTTGGGGTGCCCCCCACAGCATGCATGTACTCTGCGGTGCTGGTGGCATGTGCGTCTGGCACACGGCTGCAGCGGGCCCGGCCTGGCCACGCACATGTCTCTGCTCCCGGGCTCCCGTGTGGGCCTGGGGGTCGCAGGTCAAGGGCTGCTTTGCAAGGGTGACTCCGCAGCCGTGCGCTGCCCCCCAGCTCCGCTGGCACGAAAAGCTCCAGCCCCAGCCCCTGTCCCTGTCCCACTCGGCTCCCTGCCCACCGGACCCAGCCACGGCTGCGGCAGGACGTGCTGCCCACGCCTGAGCTAGAACCGGGCTCGCCCCCCACTGCCCTGGGAGCTGCCTGTGTCCTAGCTGGTGCCGCGGCTCCAGGCGCCGGGGCGTGGGGAAGGGGTGGAGATGGCTGGGGGCTCTGCCCTGCCGTTGCACCTTCGCGGTGCCACGGGCACTGCAGGCTCTGGGGGTCAGGCTGGCCCAGGGCTGGCAGTGCCGGGTCGGTCCCGCAGACCCCGGCCTCCAGCCCGACTCTGCAAGCTGGCTGGTGGGCCGCGCGCTGCTGCAGGACCGAGCCCCCGGCTCTGGAGCGGCGCGTTGGCCACGCGGGTGGCCTGAGTGGCCGGCTGTGCCCCCGCGGCCTGGCACCGGGAGAGCCGCGGCAGGTTCCCCTGTGGCCGGAGTGAAGCG